GGAAGGAATATTTGAGACTTTTGTCCTAAGACTAATCTTCTGATATACATCTCATTCTGAACGGCCACGGTCACTAAGTATCCTTGCCTTGTAAGTTCCTCTCCCCCTCAAAGTGGACTACATTATAAGAGTCTCCAAAAGCACATAGTTGATACAATAAGGCTTATCGCGCAGAGGTTTGTGTAAATCATAAAATGGAATGAGAGCAAGTGAATTTATACTCAGAATAGCTAATCTGATGTCTTGCCTCTATTCTATGCTCATAATGTGGTGGTACCGTTAATATTCATGATTGTCCACGAGACTGTTCACAGTTTTGAAAAGAGAGACTCTGAAAAGTGAAGAAAAATTGGCACCTGCTATTCTCTTTGAAAAGTGACTTGTTTTCTTTGACTGGCTGCCGCTAGGATGATCTCACTTTAGGTATGTGTCGATGGTTGGTGATAACTATCACATTACAACTACTTCTCCTAATTCCACACTTATCAGAATGAAGTTGTTCCAGCAACGGAGATGCAAGGTGCGACATACCCCAAGTATATCCAACCTAAGGTGGTCTTCCAAGAACAAGATAACTTTCGACAATTCGATTACTTTAAACGGTATCCATATGGTTGAAGACGGCTTGAGAAAGAGACTTCCTTGGAAGCGTCTTCGGAAGAAGTTTTGAACCATTGTCCCTACTTCCATGCTTCTCCGAGTTTAGTAGTGAAATGCAAATGCATTTGTGTTCGCGTTTACATGAGTTACCGGCTAGCCTAATGATTGGTATAGAATTCTACATCTTGAAACAGTACTCTTATCTAATCCAAAAATTCATCGTATGCGCCTCTCTGCTGGAAGCATTGAAGTTCCAATTTGTCAAGTTGCAAGATCCTGTGAAATCATAAGTCACTCTGGGGGTTGGATCTAGCGGAAGCTTGGACTTGGCAGGGAGCTCGGCTACCTTGGCGCCAGCCGGTTCCTACTTCTTCCCCTCTTCTCCCTCTCCTCCCCCTCTCCCCTCCATCCTCACC